ACCCATCTTGCTCAGGAAGCTCCCCAGGACATCATGGGCTGGTGAGATGTTTTCAGAAACACAGCCAGGTGACACCACAGATCAGGGCCTTTGGGCACAGGGATTTGCCCCCTGACTTCCTTTGAGGTAAAGGTGGGCTCCTTCCTCCTGTGCTAGTAACTCCACCTGGGTCCAGAGTCCAGAATTTGTGCCAGGTCAGGTGTCACTGAGAAGAGGAAGGGCACAGGCTGTCAACAAGACTCACCCTGGGGGATGAGATGCCACTCAGCAGGCAGAGGTGGGGAGGGCTGTGATTTTGCAGGAATGAATGGGGGTGTGACACCTCACTGTTAGGAGAGCTCTGCCCTCCCTTTTTGGCACAAACTAGGGTACTTACTGCCCCCTTTTATACTGACATCAGGCCCTGATCTCCAGGGAACATGCTCTGACCACAGATGTCACAGGTGGTAGGATAAGAGGTCAGGTACAAGGCTTTAATTGTGTGGTTTCCATCATTTACTTAAAGGTGTCTGTGAAGCCATGTGAGGGTGCAGACAGGCAGAGCTGGGTATCAGTCTGGCTTCTGTCTCATCTTCACTAACATTGTCGCTAGAATGAGGCTTCTGTTAAAAGTCTCTACCTGGCACAAGGACTGGACCTCTCATCTGTCATCAGGGGTTATCTTAGATGCCAGTTCCCTGGCTCTGCCTCCTACTCTCACTACAGGGTCCCTCATCCTCAGACTCTTGATTCCCTCCTTGCTCAGCATGGCCTCTGTGGCACAAGGTGCAGGCACTCAAAGTGACGAGTGACCAAACCATACCCCTCAGTCACTCCCTGGATTTCAGAGGCAGATGCAGGCTCTGGGATCAGGGCTGCCACATGGTAAAGGGCCTCCAGGTCTGAGTAACCACCACCTGTGGGGACTGGCAGGTCCTATCATGGTGGGTGGCAAGTGGCCTCAGGGTGCACCTGGGAGCACCCAGGAGCTGCCCTGAGAGGTGAGAGCCCTGTGGGTACTTTCATGCAGTGAACTGCCCGGAAGGCCCCGATTGGATCCTAAAGAGGGCCTGGACTCTTTCTGCCTTGGGCCAAACCCACCAATCAGTGGCAGTGAATGCAAGGACACCAGGGCTCAGGGACAGCATGCAGGGCACACACCGCTCTCTTAAGGGCCAGGGGAGCTTAGGAATTAGCTCATCCTTCTCCTGGTGGGAGGTATTGGGATCTAGGTGAGCATCCCCTAGCTTCCTCTAATCTTGCTTTTCATATATAAAGGAATAAAGGGTGATGATTCCTACTGACAAAATAAGTGCAGAGTCATGGATACATGGACTAGATCTCAAAGAGGAGGGAGTTGGGGTGATAACAAGGGATTAGCCAAAAATCATACATGCATAGCCCATGGACACAGGCAATAATGGGGTGAAGGCCTGTGGTGGGGTTGGGGCTGGTTGGACGGGTGGAGGTTATGGGTTGGAGGACATCTGTATTACTGTCAACACCAAAACTTGTTTTAAAAGTTGTAGCTAGCCTCTTGATGGAAGGGAACTCTTACATCATTGTAAAATGAAAATAATGCACTGGAATATTCTTTAAAGGAAAACAACCATTTTCAATTTACCAATAACTAGGATGCAGGTTTTATTTTTCTAGTTCATTTTTAAAAATAAAGCAATTTCCAATTAATTTTTACTTTTAAGATTAAGCACCCTCATTGACCATCCAGAAACAGTCACTGCTAACTCTTTGGACACACATACATAACATGGATAAAAATAATCCCCCACTTTTCAGTGACAAGGTAAGAAAAAATAACATTTTCATAGCTGTGGTTGAGTTCTGCCCTTTTTTAAAAAAAAATGTTATTTTGCTACTAAACCACTCAAACCAAAAGAAAAGACAATTTTTCAAAAAGCCAACAAAACCCTGAAATAAGGATCTAGGCAAACCAAAATTATCCTCCAATATAGTATTGTTGTGGGGGGGGTGGGGGGGTGGGGGGTGGGGTGGGGGTAGGGAGTGGGGGGGAAAGGCAGGAAACCAAATTCCCAAAGCATACTAGAAGTGATCTATAAAAATAGTTTAGAAAGTTAGGACTAAACTACAGTAGTGTAGAGTTCATAAAGCACATAATTTGAAGCTCAGCGTGTTCAGCTTGGGAATACATAGGCTTTTTCTTACTCCAGCAATAGAAATAAAAATATGAGCTGATGGTATTGATATTAAAATTGTCCTTACCAACAGAAGGAGAATGTAGAATGAAAGGTGACAAAAACAACTGTTTTGAATCTAGGCTCTATTGCTCAACAAAGCTGAACAGGGCTAAAATTCTTCTGAGCCAGTATCTATACTAATAAAAGTGTAATATGCTAATTAGACCAGATAGACCAGACAAAGTCAAGGTCCTGGGTGCCTGTGGCCAGTCCGGAGGGAGGAAAGCCTAGGTCTCGGTTGCCTGTGGCTGGCTGGATGAGGGAAATCTGCGTCCATGGTGCTGGGGCCAAGGCAGAGGTAGTTAGGAGTGATCAGGCAGGTCCTATCATGCAGTGAACTGCCCGGCAGGCGAGTGGTTAGGAGCCAGCAGTCCTGGATTGCATGGGGGATGTCTGGGATTGCAAGAAGGTGCAGGCCAGGCTGAGGGACCCCTTCCCTCTAAACCCCATGCACAAATTTCAGTGAACTACTTATCACCTGGTATATCTGTGACCCACATTGTTTGTGGTATTAAAGAATATTTTTTAAATTATAAATTTCTATTCTGAAAAGCAGTAGACCAAAAAGATACTGGACCATCCAATCAGCTCTAAAGGGCTCCCTCCAAAAAGAACTTAGCAGCAATTTAGGTTGGAATGAATGTAACATGGAGTAGGTGAGACCAGGCTCTCGGTACACTTTTAATGAGGCTTCTAACCACCCCAGCCATAAGGAAACTCCCACAGAAATTTAAAGGGATGCCTCTCAAAGATAAAAAAAAAAAGTCTACAAGTTGAACTCTTGACCTTTCTCCTTACTGAAAACTTGAGGAAGAAAATAAATATTTAAATGTTTAACTATTCAGAGTTTTGAGAACATAGTAATATTTAATATTCTTTAGTTTTCTTTTCTGAACCTTTGGCTTATAATTTTCCCAATTATGCTACATTGAAAAATGTCTGAATGTGCCTTAGCCAGTAGTGCCACATGAAAATGTAAACCTCATTCTCCTTATCTTCTACATTGGAAGAGTGAATGAATGGTAACCCTAAATACCTGCAAAGTTACTTTGTATATTCAGCAAAAGATCAGGGCAAACCATTTCATGTCCACGTTTTGAGCAGGAGGAATGAACTAATCTTCTTCAATCTCATATTCCCAAGTAGATTCCTCAACATCTGCAGCATAGAAAAACCAGTCAAAACACAGGGAAGCAGGGTCCGTGAAATGTTTATGAGGGTTTGCGTTAGGGGTGGAGAGAACCCATGCAAATCCAGCAGAAATACTGCATGCAACCAGTACAAGTCATCTTGCTACATCCATCTAACTTCTGCAGTGAGCTTATGTGGAGGGACACCATGGTAGGTCAATCTGCCTCAGGTACAGAAGGCAAAATTGCAGTGGGAGCAGATGTCCAATGGTTCAGCCAGGCTCCTACATCATAGGCAATTGGCAGCATGGGTTGTGGGGGGCAGTACACCACATATGCCATCAGGTCCAACATAGACTGGAGAAGAAGCCGATCATAACGGGTAAATAACTCTGCTTCTACTAGTTCATTGACCTGACCACTGAAGGGCACTTGGGTTCTGGGCAGTGGAGGCATTGAACTTGGCCGCCTTTGATCTGGATTTCAAAGTAGTCCTGCAGACAGGCCTTGCAGTACACATGCCTGCACTCCAAGAAGTGCATGCATTCACTACTCTGCTTCTCACAGGAACAGATATTGCACAGGAACAATTTACTGTGAAATCATTTTATCTGCTGAGCTGGATCAAAGTCCAAGATTTCCTGGATCAGATTTGACAATGTTTCCACATCCTGCACGGCTCTCTCATCCACAACTTCCTCTTGGTCTACAGCAGATCCAGCTGCTCCTCTACAATCTACAATCTAGCTCTGTGTTGCCAGAGGCTTGAGCTGTACTTCTCTGCATTTTTTTTTCCCCCTGAGAACCAATTCTGAGCTCAAAAGGAGAGAAAATATTCAGGTACCCTAAGGTCTCTTCCTTAAGAAACTGCTTCCAGGAAAACAGGACCACATTGCCACAGTGTTCTTTTCACAAGTTGTCCATGTGCTTGCAGAGAGCAGACAGCGCTCACAAATACCTTGTAATTTTGTGGCAATTCCAAGTAGATCCTGGTTTCTCCACCTTGGACAGACCCTGCTTTTCTAAATTCATCTTCATCGTAAATACTCGCCAGGCCCAGCAATGCATCCTCCTGAGCTTCTCGGTCTTCTATTGACATTTAATTTTCTGAGGAGCTGTTAATAACAGGAAGAAGAGAATATGAACACTGCAATCTATTTCAGTTCAGAGTCTGGAATTCATGCAAATATCCCATTTATTCTCCAGATGGTGGAGATGAGACTGCTGAAGTTGGATAAGAGGCCAAGATTTGGAAGTTATACTAGATATACTATAGAAATCCTGCCATCTACACCCAGGAGCAGGCCCAACCCTCGCTACCTGCCCTAGCACTGGGACACAGCACTGTGCAGCCTTGTGAGGTCCTGAAGAAGCAGGGCCTGGACTGGGGCAGGGTGTGGTCTTAGCTGGGACAGACTGGGAGCACCCTATCTGGTGTCTGGGGGGCTGAAGCCCCACTGAGCTGCCCCGGCCCAACCACCCTTCTCAGTCTCACAGAGCACTGGCCCCACCGTTCCTTCTGTTCTCGGTCTCACTGTTCCTTCCTGTGAGGCCACCATGCCCTGCCCTGCCCTACGGTTCCGCCTTCTGCTCTAGCCTCAAGGCCCCTCCAAGCCTCTCCCCTGCTCAACCTGTGCAGCGCCTCTTCCCCCTAGTTCATTATTACCACTTTTGGTAGTTTAGCTCTTAGGAAATGGTGAAAGCCGCCCATGATCCATGTTTTAGTTCAAGAATGTGGACTTTATGTGGATTCTCCTGTGATTTTAAGTGTTCACATAGGTCACCTTCTGTGAACACTAATGCCATTTCCATCTGTCCATTTGTTACTCATAACTGGACAGAGAGAGTCACATCTTCCCTGGAAAGCATCTGACCACTGCCAGGAGCCAATTCCAGCATGTCATAATTACAAGAGTTTCATCAAAAGATTGGTGAAGCTTGGGGGGCTCAACAAGGGCCGAATCACATATGTAGTTTACCTGTTGGAATGGCTGGAAAAGCATCTCCCCCAATCTTGAATAGGATTGGCTACTGCCAGACAGCTCAGGGCGTCTTAATCTACATGTTATTGCCTCCTGTGGCCAAATACCTAAACAGCTGTAGGCTCTCCCCTAATCTGACAATGTTTCTGTAAACCCTATCCTTTGAAACCTTATATTTTGAAGTATATTATCTCCACCTTGCCTTAGAAAAAATTGTGTTAATAAAAGCAAGCAGGGGTCCTGAGTCAAGGAGGGAAGTCTTTAGCTCCTTTAGCTGAAGCTCCTCTGACCCCCAATGCCTTTCAAAATTATCTTTTGTCTTTGGACTCCTTATTGAATTTATGCACAGCTCTTTTATCCAGATTGGTGAAAACCCTTTCTAATGCTGGGACAAGAACCCTGGCAGACCACCATCGAAAAGAAAGTGTCCAAATGCTTCTGGTTGATGATGATGGCACTGAAGGTGAAGGTCTGTTCAGGGTGGGCCAAAGCAATACTTTTTGGAAAGTTTTCCATCAAAAACCACATGCAGAAGGCACTTGTCACAACATGGGATGGATAAAGGACAGAAATAGAAATCAGCAGTTTAAGTATCACACCCAAGAGTGGACAAAAGATTCTGCCCAGTATGAGAGGTAGAGGGACGAATGGTGAGGATACTACAAAGACCCCCACCCAACCCCTTAATGAGGGAACATTAAAGGTATTGTAGTTCAGAGAGGGGCCACAGGTGCTGGGAAGGAGACCTGACACTGTCCATTTGGGGGGCATAAATGCATTTTTAAGTTATGATGTCACAGTGTATAATTCTGAAAATAAAGAGAAACTCCTATGATGTAATTTTCTTCTTAATAAGATGTTCCTTCCTAATGATAGAAATGACTGCATTTACTGCTAAGATGCTTGAGATGGTAAGAGCAGGCTGTCTAATGGCATGGCATCTAGATTTGTTAGGAGGTATTTTCTCTTCCCAGTGTCTACAGAATTTTCTTCACCCGACTTTGCAGTACATCCCACTGGTGTCACTCTGATTCGTGGGCGCACCCTTTCACAACCCAGTCTTCCAGCCGGTGAGCTAAGGCAGCCATCAGTCATCACGTCTAACTATGCCCCCTTCTGAACCTGAATGTGCCCTCTGTCCGACTTCAGCCCCAATCTCTCAACTCTCCTGTCCTTTTCTCTCCACTTCAGGCAGGAACAAGCCACTAGAGGGCACCCACACTCCTCCTTGAGCTCCTGTGGACCATTTCCATCACCTGAGACAAATAAATGCGTGTTTTTACTGCAACCCACCCTTCAAGTACTCTTTAGATTTGTTCAGGGTGTTGCTCCTGCCTCATGGACTGGGGAACTGGATTTTAAGTCATTGTAGAGGGAGATGGTTCAGGAGCAGTGGGTAATATAGGATAGACACCCAGGGCCCAGATGTTCCTGCACAAGGGGTGGTCACAGGGACAATGGTCGTGAGCCTGTGGCTTGAAGGCCCTGTCATTTAACATCTGTGCACATGGGCCTTGCCTGGGCTGCTGTGAAATATTTCAGATTGGAGTTTTCCTCACTGGGCGGTGGGTCCTCCTGGGGTATTTCAAGAACTTTCCTATTGAAGAATGAGAAGAGAATTTTTCATAGGGGAAATCACATTTTCCCCTAGAGCTGGAAAGCATCTGACCACCATTAAAAAGAAAGTATCCAAATACTATTGGCTGATGATGATGGCAGTCAAGGTGGAGGTCTGCTCAGGGTGATGAGGGAGGTTCTCTCCGCACCTGAGAGATCAGGTGGTGTCGGGCTTTGCCATCAACTTCAGATTAGGACCCAGGAAGTGGGAGGGTGAGGACCTACCTGACCCTCTCCACCCTCCTCAGGACACCACTGCCGGGCTCACTGTGGGGAACTCAGCCTCCCTTCTCCCTCCCTGTAGTGCAGGACAGGAACCCAGAGCCCCTTCATGTAGAGTGGACCATGAAGGAGCCCAGGTGAGGGAGGGCAGATGGATGTGAGGAGAGAGCCTTATTCCTGGAAGCTGTAAGATGAGGGCCAGCAGAAGGCACAAAGCCTGCTTAGCAGCTGCAGTTGAGTCAGTATGCCAGAGCCTTTTCCTCTGAAGAATCCAGCCTTTTCCCTGGGAACATTCCATTCCCTCCCCTTCAGTGCTCCCAGGTGAGGCCTCAGTCCTTTCCCACTCAGTCCTGCATCAATTCTCTGTCCAACTACTCAGTCCCCCCAGAGCTGCAGAATGGTCAGTGCTGCCCCTGATCACACTAGTCTGGAGGCACAGTCCTGCCTCCCTGGTCAGCTGTGGGACTAGGCTCTCAGGCTCCATGTCCTGATTACCATCACCTGCCAGGAGGTGGCAGCAGCTGAACAAATGAGAGATGCAGGGTCAGTTGTTATCACCCTGCGTGTCTCAAGTGGACATGTGGGGGAGAGTGTTGGGGTAGTCACCAAGGAAATGATGGCATTTCCTGCTAATTTAGATGCTGGTAGTGTATGCTTTGGGAATTCAACAGAGAATGCATGGATATTTTCTTATATTGGAGGACAGGCATTACTGAATCTGACCCACTGCAAATTCAGCTTCCTGGTTCAGGGCTGGTGTCTGGGTGAGGCAGGGACAGCCAGGGAAGGTCAGGCAGGTTCCTTTGTATTCATAGGGCTGAAGAGATGTGTGCTGTGTTTGGAATAGTGCTCCTTCTTTGTCAGCAGTACCCAGCTCCCTCGTACACTCCCTACTTCCTGCAGATGTTGCCCCTTCCTAGCCCCATCTCAGCTCTCAGAGCAGATTCTGAGCTGACTGCCCAGCGTCATCTTGGGTGCCATTCACTCTCTTTGCTTTGATCCTGCTGGATGCCTGGTGCATGACCATGAAGGTTCCCTGAACGTTGTGTGTGTGTGTGTGTGTGTGTGTGTGTGTGTGTGTGCGCGCGCGTGCATGTGCTTGCGTGATATACCTCTGCACACTTGTGAATCTCAAGAAGATTTTAGAGCCATTTAACCAATAGTTATTTTATTTTTATAGTTCTTTATTGTTGAAAGTATTACATATGTCCCCCTTTCCCCTCATTATTCCCTCTAGCCTGCCCCCGCCCGCAACCCCAAGACCTCAATGCCCATTTTCTATATCCGTGGGCCATGGATATATGCATATAAAGTCCTTGGTTGATTATCTATCACCCACCCATCCTCTCCTACCTTTCCTCCAAGATTCCACACTCTCTTCCATGCTTTGACTTTCTGGATCCACTCTATCAGTTTATTTTGTTACTGTGATCATATGATACTTGTCTTTCTCTCTGACTGACTTATTTTACTTAGCATGATACTCCCAGGTCTTTTCATGCTGTCTCAAAGGATAAGAGATTGTTCTTTATTACTGCTGCATAGTATTCCATGGTATAAATGCACCAAGCTTTTTTATCCACTCATCTACTGATGGGCACTTGTGCTATTTCCAGATCTTAGCTATTATAAATTGTGCTGCTATGAACATAGGGTGGCATACATTCTTTCTGATTTGTATTCTGAGTTTCTTAGGATGTATTCTTAGAAGTAGGAACAGGGGGTCAAATGGCAGTTCCATATTTAATTTTTTGAGAAAATTCCATATTATTTTCCATAATGGTTGCACCCAGTCTGCATTCCCACAAGAAATGTACTAGGATTCTATTTTCTTCGCATCCTTACCAGCACTTGCCATTTGTTGACTTGTTGATGGTAGCCATTCTGACAGGTGTGAGGTAATACCTCATTGTCATTTTAATTTGCATCTCTCTGATGATCAGTGACTTGGAATATTTTTTCATATGTCTCTTGGCCATCTGTATGTCCTCTTTGGAGAATTGTCTATTTAGGTCCTTTGCCCATTTTTTAAATTGGATTGTCTTTCTTCTATTAAGTTGTATGAGTCCCTTATATATCCAATATTTTGGATATTAACCTTTTATCAGATGTATCATTGCCAAATATTTTTTCCCATACAGTGGGCTTCATTTCCATTTTGTTGATTGTTTCTTTTGCTGTGAAGAAGCTTTTTATTTGGATGTAGTCCCATTTGTTTATTTTCTCCTTAGTTTTCTGTAAGTGGAGAAAGGAAGATGTATCCCTAAACATATTGCTCCTAGAGATGTCTGAGATTTTACAGCCTGTGGCTTCTTCTAGGATTTTTATGATTTCATGACTTACATTTAAGTCTTTTATCCATTTTGAGTTTTTTCTTGTGTATGGTATAAGTTCATGGTTTAGTTTCATTTTTTGCACGTATCTGTCCAATTTTCCCTACACCGCTTATTGAAAATACTACCTTGACTCCATTGTATTCTCTTGCCTCCTTTGTAAAATATTAATTGAGCACAATGGCTTGGGTTGATTTCTGGGTTTTCTGTTCTGTTCCATTGGTCTATATGCCTGTCCTTGTGCCAGTATCAAACTGTTTCAATTATGGTGGCTTTGTAATATAACTTAAAGTCTGGTATTGTATTCCTCTAAATTTGTTCTTCTTTCTCAAGATTGCTGATCGGAGTCTTTTTATTCACCAATAATGAATACTTAGAAAGAGAAACTAAATAAGCAACAAAAAAGTTAAAATGCTTAGGAAAAGACCTGATTCAGAAAACTACAGGATGTTAAAAAAAAGTAATAGAAGAAGATATAAACAAGTGGAAGAATATACCGTATTCATGGACTGGTAGAATCAACATCATTAAAATGTCTATGTTACCCAAGGCAATCTACAGATTCAGTGCAATCTCTCTTAAAATACCAAAGACATATTTCACAGATTTACAACAAACACTCCAACAATTTATATGGAACCAAAAAAAAAACCCAACAAATTTGGAGCGTTGATTTTGTATCCTGCTCAATTGCCAAATTCATTTATTAAATCTAGATTTTTTTTTTTTTGTAGAGTCTTTAGGGTTTTCTATGTACAATATCATGTCATCTGTGAATAATGAGAGTTTTACTTTCTCCTTTCCAATTTGGATGCCTTTTATTTCCTCTTCTCTGATAACCTTGATTAGGAGTTCCAATACTATCTATACTAATAAAAGAGTAATATGCTAATTAGATCAGACATCTTGCTGATGTCCTTCCAGACAAAGCCATGGTGGTAGGGGCTGAGGCAGAGTTCGTTACTGGTGATCAGGCCGGCATGGGAGGGCGGTTAGGGCAGATTCAGGCCGACAAGGGAGGGCAGTTAGGGGCTATGAGGCTGGCAGGGAGGGGCAGTTAGTGGTGATTAGACCAGCAGGGGAGGGCAGTAGAGGGCAGTTATGGGTGATCAGGCAGGTGGGGAACAGTTAGGGGGTGATCAGGCCAGCACTGGGGAGTAGTTAGGGGATGATCAGACTGGTAGGGGATCAGTTAGGTGGCGATCAGGTTGGCAGGTAGAAGTGGTTAAGGACAATCAGCTTGGCAGGGGAGTAGTTAGGGGCATCAGGCCAGCAGGCAGAGGCAGTTAGGGGTGATTAGGCTGACAGTGGAGGGCAGTTAGGGGCAATCAGGCTGGCAGGGGAGGGAAGTTAGGGAGCAATCAGGCAAGCAAGGGAGCAGTTAGGGGGCGATCAGGTTGGCAGGCAGAAGTGGTTAGGGGTGATCAGGCTGGCAAGCAGAGATGGTTAGGGGCTATCAGGTCGGCAGGCAGGTGAGTGGTTAGGAGCCAGTAATCCTGGATTGGAGAGGGTGAAAGCTGAGGAACATCCCCTCCCATGCACAAATTT